GAGAGGAGAAACACAGAGGAGAACCAGAGAGGAGAAACACAGAGGAGAAACACAGAGGAGAACCACAGAGGAGAAACACAGAGGAGAACCACAGAGGAGAACCAGAGAGGAGAAGGAGGTGCCTCCCTCTCGAGAGGAGCAGTTCTCACATGATCTGAGGTCTGGAACTGGGCCAGGTTCCGTCGGCGTTCCTGGTCTCCATGATCACCGTCTGGAACACAGAGCAGACAGCGGTTGGTTCTCCGCTCCAGCACCTCCTCCTCCTCCTCCTCCTCCCCCCGGCTGCTCCTCACCATCCCGGAGCTCAGGCAGGAGTCCAGAACGCTGATGTGGACGTTCCTCAGCCGCTCGCAGCTGCTGTCGGAGCTCTTCATCCACAGACGGCACTCTGAGCCCGGAGGAACGGAGAAGGCCCGGCACACGGCCGACTGGACCGCACCTGGACCCACACACATCAGAACCCGTCAGGAAACGCTGGGGGTTCTGTAGAACCCCAGCAGAACCGCCGCCCCACTCACAGATGCTGTCGGTGCGGCTGAAACGCGCGCTGACCACGTTCTCCATGTTGCTATGGAGACACAGGAAGACCTCCACAGGATAGACCTCCACCTTCATGGTGCTGGGCAGGTCCACCACCTGGAGAACACAGGGGGGCGTTCAACCCTGAGCCGGACCCCCCGTAACCATAGCGACGGCTGGGTTCTACCTTCCGCTCCAGCGCCGGCTGTCCGTCCATCATCCCGTACCACAGCAGCAGCTTGTTCCACGCCGCCGCCGGCACCAGCGTGAAGTCCTCGTTCTCCACCAGCCGCTCCTTCAGGTGGAACGAGTCCAGGTCTGAAAGCGGAACAGAACCAGATCCGTCAACATCTAGCGGGCCCGGTGGGTTCTGCAGCCGGCCGCGGCGTTCACTGACCCTCAAACAGCTCTGCGTTGTCGATCCGACCTGGGAAGGACGATGAGTTCTGGTCTCCGCTCTCCACAAACTCCCTCCACTGCTCGAACCAGCGCCGGTCCACAATGTACCTGCAACACAGACCCCGCCCACACCGCTCAGAACCTGGGTTCTATGGTGGGAAAACCATTCAGCCCAGTTCAATAAGCGCAGATGGATGGATTCCACCCAGTTCATTTTCTGGTAATCAGCCCAGTTCTGATCTGAGCTTCGTTTCTCCTTAACTAGAACAGGAAGTAGAACAGGAAGTAGAACAGGAAGTAGAACCAATCAGACTGGTTGGTTCAACAGTAACAGGTTCAAATGAACCTGAGGAGGAATCTGGTTGATCTGGGAGGAAAAGTTTGGATTTACAGGAGAAACGGAGCAAGAAAAGAACCGGAAAGAACCGGGTCAGCCCGCCGTCACAGGAGCTCCACAGAACCATCAGAACATCTACAGACGGAGACCCACATGGGTCTGGTTCAGAACCTGCAAGCAGGACCGAGTGACCATAAGAACGCCGCTTCCAGAACCAGGGCAGAACCAGGGCGGGTGGTTCATTTTTAGAACTTTAACATAATCCTGCTCTAAGTAGCCGGGAACTGATCTCCAAGCGGTCCGGTTCCTGTGGTTCTTGGCTGGATCCAGGTCTTGGACCGGCTGTTTTCTGGACTCTGACCCAGAGCCTGACCTTCTTCTCTATCTTCAGGCTTCTGTTTCATTTTCTGAGAAAAGCAGCGATGGAAGCTCCTCAGGATGGACCTCCAGGTTCCTCTGGATGGACCTCCAGGCTCCTCAGGATGGACCTCCAGGTTCCTCAGGATGGACCTCCAGGTTCCTCAGGATGGACCTCCAGGTTCCTTCACCCGTTTTTATGGATCCGGTTCTGCTCATCTTCGAGAACCTTGTTTGACCCTCTGCCAGATCTCCATCTTCTCCAACAACATGATATTCTGACTGGTTCTGGTTTATTGTTTGTTCTGACAGGAAACATCAAAGTAATCAGCAGAACCTTCAGTCTCTGAGGTTCTAAAGAACCTTCTGATGGACCTCTCTGGTTCTGCTGAGGTTCTGATGGACCTCTCTGGTTCTGCTGAGGTTCTGATGGACCTCTCTGGTTCTGCTGAGGTTCTGTTGGACCTCTCTGGTTCTGCTGAGGTTCTGATGGACCTCTCTGGTTCTGAGTTTCTGTTCCGACTGAGAATCGAAACTGAAAATGTTTCTGATTTCATGAAAAATCCAGAAAGTATCGATGAAGCTGGACTGACAGGAAGCAGCAACAGATCCGAACCGAACCGAACCAAACCGAACCGAGCCGAGCTGAAGAAACGAACCTTAAAGCTTCTAGAAACTGTTAGCATTAGCAGTTAGCAGCTAGCGGTCAGCTAGCTCAGGCTAACAGGAAACACCGAACTGTTAAACAGACCCAGCTAACCCAACCGAACCGAACCGACACCAGAACCGCCCTCAGCCCGAGTCCCGGTCCCAGTGACCAGCGGCGGTACCGGTCCAGCAGCTCCGTGAGGCGGTCCGTCACTCACCAGCTGTCCCCAGCCCTGAGCTCGCTGTCCCGCAGCAGGCTTTCGATCTCCCGCCGCTGGGTCTCCAGACCCGGAGGCTCCGCGGCCGAACAGCGGCTGTTGGCCGTCATGCTGCCGGTCATTCAGTCATTAATGTCGGAGCGGAGGCTCCGCTGCCTGGAGGAGCAGAGAACCAGAAGCAGAACTCTATTTGCGGAAGAAGGAACCGGTTCTGCCCCAAAATGATGACGGCTTCCTGGGAAGCAGCTGCGGTTCCTCACCTGACCGCAGGGGGGCGACCGAACAATTCAGCTTAATGAGCGAAAAAGTTTAAGATGAAAATAAAATGATTAAAAATAAAGTGCAGGAGGAGGAAACAGACGGATCCTAACTAAATGACCCCCCCCCCCATACTGGTTCAGCTGGTGCTGAACTGGACAGCTCCTTCAGTGACAGACTGCTGCCCCCTAAATGGACCAGGGAGCGTTATCACAGATCCTTCCTCCCAGCAGTTGTTAGACTCTAGAACCACCACTGTTCCCAGTAACCTCAACCAGTTCTTCCATTCAGGCTGATTTCTACCTCAGTCAGTTCAATAACCTGCTGCTGCAGGATGATGGTAAACAGTCTGTGGTCCTGCTGGGAGAAGCAGATTATTGAGGCAGCTGGAATAATGAATCTGAGGAGATCAATAATCCAAATAAATAAACCTTTTCCATCTCTCTTTTTGTTGTTTTTATTTATTTATTTTTGTTTTCTTTTTACAAATATAGCCATTTTATTAATGACCTGGAAAAAGTCATTAAGTTAAATCAGCATGGATGCTGCCTGAACATACTGTAACCCCTCCCCAAAAGGAAAATATATAAAGGTTTATGAACATCTATAAGATTCCAAAGGATCGGTCTGAGATCCAGGAGTTAAAGACTGAAGTCTGTTTTGTTGGGATTAGGAATGTGAGCCTCCAGCGCTGAGATGATGAACAAACAGAAACCAAGACGTTGTTCTGCTTAGAGTTTGGTGAATTTGGCTTCGCTTTCCTCAAACTGCAGCTTTAACAGCAACGCTTCCATCTCTGACATAGTGCAGCTTTTCCAGGTGAGCTGGAGGCTCCTTCAGCCAACAGGCCTCATGTTCTACATATTTACTGTTTGGGAGACGAGATGCATTAAAACGGGAGCGAGGAGCAGATCACACAACTATAAATACAATGAATAAATAGATAAATAAAAGTAAATATATGAAAAAATTTAAAGAATAAGTTATTCAGCTTTTTAACTGGAAGAACAAAAATCAACATAATTGTTATAAAGCTGACAGGTTGTATGAAGCAAAGAAAAAACTATTTTGGCTAAATGTCCAATCCTTTAATTGATCCTTTTAATTCTGCCTGATTTACCTTAATATAGGAATCTTTACTAAACCATCAGTAACTTTCACCACATTCTAAGCGGTTCTGATGTTCCTCTAAGCTGCCCTGAACTTTGTCCTCTTCCCTTGTGACTAAACATGAAAAATTAATGTTTAAACCCAGAAAGCTTCTGGGTCACAGGGAGACATGGAGGCCTAAGCTCCACCCACTCGCTTCACCTGCTGGTAAATGGTGCAGAGCCACTCTGCTTCTAGACTTACACAACTTTTATTGTCATTTTGTACAGAGAGAATACAGAACGAAAGCGTCCAGACAGTCAATGAACATTTCCATTCCTTAAAGTGAAGCAGTGATCAAATGAAAAAACATGGAAATGCAAAAAAGCGCATTGATCTGGAAGTTCACAGCATTAATATCTATGATGCAGATATGCGTCATAGATATACCTCTGCTGATTAATCTGGATCTGGAGTTAGATCCAGCTCCAGCTCTGGATCCAGACCTGGATCTGGATCTGGCTCCATAGAGGAAATCATTTCTAAGCAAACTCAGACTCATCAGACTGGAAACCAGTTTAACCATAAAACCCAGTCACCATCTCAGAACATAGAAGTATCAGTCAAATATCACAGCTGTTAACTTTCACAGCTCGGCCACTAATTACTCATTTATATCACTGATTTCACTTTTAGAATGTATTTTATATTTTTTGCTTTTTATATTCTTTTCTTTGTGTTTGAAACTGAATTCATTTCTCATTCCTGATTTAAAGCTCGTTTTCAAAATACTTAGTCTTTAACATGAATTAAAAAAACACTTGATCAACAGGAATCATCTCGATAATTTAATTAAACCAAAGATAAATTATATTTTTTTTAAAACAGAACTTTATTTATTTGATGAAAAAAGAGCCGTCGGGAGGAAATCTAAACATTTTAAATGTGATTCACCGCTTGGTGGCGGTAATGCGATAATAGGCTGTTTGGAGGCAAAAGCCGAAGAAGAAAGAGAAGAAGAAAAACAATCCTTCTCGTCCAATCAGTGGCTTCGAAAATAAGCCGCCAGCCAATGAGCTTCCTCTGCTCTGTTCGCGCGCTGACAGCCGGAGAAGACAACATGGAGGTAGAAATGAGCGAGACAGAAAACAACCAGAAACCGGCTGGAAGTGAGCAGAAGACGGACACGGAGGCCGGGGCCTCCTCATCCAAAGGCCCCGGCGGCTCCTACGAGCTTCCCTGGGTGGAGAAATACCGGCCGGTGAAGCTGAACGAGATCGTTGGGAACGAGGAGACGGTGAGCCGCCTGGAGGTGTTCGCCAGGGAGGGGAACGTCCCGAACATCATCATCGCAGGTGGGTGGAGAGGAATGGGGAGGAAACATGGAGGAAACGGGGAGGAATGGGGAGGAAACAGGAAGGAAATATGGAGGAAACGGGGAGGAATGGGGAGGAAACAGGAAGGAAATATGGAGGAAAAAGGGAGGAAACATGGGGGAGACAGGGAGGAAACATGAAGAAAACGGGGAGGAAACATGGAGGAGACAGGGAGGAAACATGAAGAAAATGGGGAGGAAACATGGAGGAGACAGGGAGGAAACATGGGGGAAACAGGGAGGAAACATGGGGGAAACATGGAGGAAACATGGAGGAGACAGGGAGGAAACATGGGGGAAACAGGGAGGAAACATGGGGGAAACATGGAGGAAACATGGAGGAGACAGGGAGGAAACATGGGGGAAACAGGGAGGAAACATGGGGGAAACATGGAGGAAACATGGAGG